TGTAAATAATATTACATACCCAATCCTGCAATAAGGCGCTCTGGTAGCGTAGTGGTTACGAATCAGGCTGTAAACCTTAAGGTCAGCAGTTCGAAACTACCAGCTGTTCCGCGGGAGAAAGATGAGGCTTTCTGCTCCCGTAAAGATTTACAGTCTCGGAAACCCTGTACAGGGTCGCTGTCAGAATTGTCTCCATGGCACATAACAACAATAACAACAACAAACTTGCAATAACAGTAATCTACGAGTAGCTACATAGATACTCAGGCTGAACAAAGGGTGGGAATGAGAATATGACAACATCCATGAAAATGTATAGATTTGATAGGATGTTGTTACATATATATATTTGTATGTGCTGCAAATACTTATAAAAGTTCATGGAAAAATTGAATGTGAAGGTAGCAAAATTTTTCCATGAACTTTTTGAAGTCCCTTCATAGTAGGAAAAACAGGGGGCAAAGTTATGAAAACTTCTTAGTCATAACCAAACACCATGAGGGAATGAGCCGCTGGCCCAGGACTCAGGATCACAGTCTTGGGGGGCACGTAGGTCAACTGGTGTAACATAGACCACGATTCTATTCTACTTTGGTAAGTCGGGGGGTGGTGGTGGTGGTTATGTGCCGTGGAGTCGGTTCTGACTCATAGCGACCCTTTACAGGGTTTCCGAGGCTGTAAATCTTTACGGGAGCAGAAAACCTCATCTTTCTCCCGTGTAACAGCTGGTAGTTTCCAACTGCTGACCTTGTGGTTTGCAGTCCGATTCGTAACCACTATGCTACAGTGGGTCTTAAACGTTTATGAGTAGCCATCTAACATGCAACCAGCGGTCAGTCTCTACCCAGAGGAAAGAAGAGTGAATAAAATCGAAGATGCATAGAAAGAATTAGTCCAGTGGAGGAATGGACCATGTGAACCTCAGCCTCCCACACCAGAATAGCTAGATAGTACCCAATGACCACTCTAAAAGATCACAATAGGAGGTCCTGGATAGAACGGTAGAAACATGACTCAAAATCTTTAAAAAGATCAGGCCTACTGTCCAATAGAGGCTAGTATGACCTTGAGACTTAGCTCTGAACCACTCTTCAAACCTAGAACTAAATTCACCCCAGTTAGTTGGCCCAACATTCAGCCAAACAGTAGAGAGACCTCTGTAGTGAACAGTAACACCAGGGAGGTATACACTCCTTCAAACAACCAACCATACCACATCAAAAAGGCAGCATTTGCCCAGGGGTAAAGCTCAGAAGGCGGGAAAGCTACATGGAAAGAGTAAACACAGGGAGGAAGGGGAAGGTTTCTTACATTGTGGGGATTGCAATTACATAAAACAAAATGTATATGAATTGTTGAATTGAAACCCAATTTATTCTGTAAGCTTTCGCCTAAATCACAAAAGTCAAAACAACAAAATCCTGCTGATAAGTGGACTCCAAATCATGGTGACTCCCATGTGTGTTAGAGCAGAACTGTGCGCTATAGAGTATATTCAGTGGCTGATTTTTCAGAAGTACATTACCATGCTTTTCATCCCAGGTGCTTCTGGGTAGACTGGAACCTCCCACCTTTCAGCTAAGCAGTCGAGCGTATTAATTGTTTGCACCACTCAGGGACTCTTTGCTCTATTAATGTTGTTGTTGTTGTTAAGTGCCATTGAGTTGGTTCCGACCTATGTACAGGGTTTCCAAGGAGTGGCTGGTGAGTTTGAACCACTAATCTTGCGGTTCAAACAGACCTTGTGGTGTGGAGTACTTATACTATGGCGCCACACCAGGACTCCCTCTCTAGATGCCACATGATTATGTATCATAGCGTGGACAAGGGTTCTATAGTCAAGACCTTTTTGAAGTTATAACCAAACATTTTTATGACAATAGCTTTTGTACAATCTAATGTATAATATACGCTCTGGTAGCGTAGTGGTTACGAATCGGGCTGTGAATCGCAAGGTCATCAGTTCCAAACTACCAGCTGTTCCGTGGGAGAAAGATGAGGCTTTCTGCTCCCGTAAAGATTTACAGTCTCGGAAACCCTGTACAGGGTCACTATGAGTCGGAACCGACTCCACGGCACATAGCAACAACAACAATGTATAATATATTAAAACTCTGAAAGTGACAAATTGCCAACCAAGAATAATGTATCCAGCAAAACTGTCTATCAAATTTGGCAGAGAAATTAGGTCATCTTCAAACAGAAAGGAAAAGAATTTGCAAAAACCAGACTAAAGTTACCAAAAATTATAAAGGGAGCTCTTTGGACAGACAGCAGCAGCAGGCAACAGCCTGAGACAGAACAGTATGCCTAGACTCAACCCAGATTTAGAAGTATGTGTATCTTCATTATAGTAAGACAGACCTACAAGACTGGAAATAGAGAACCAGAGATACAGTTGCAAAAACAGCAAAGTAAAAAGGGAATAATGTAGTTACCTGGACGTCAAGGTCAGTTTGAACTGAAAGGTGGGTGGTTCAAACCTACCAGCCGCTCCTCAGAAACCCTATACAGGTTTACTATGAGTCGTAACTGACTTAATGACACTTAATAGTGTAGTTACAGAACTTCAAATGAAGAGGAAATCAAATATATTTCAAGAAAAACCAACCAACCAACTAACCTAATAGCAACCCTGAAAATGAAACCAAGCCTTACTCCTAACCCTAGCCTAACACTTCATCCTTAACATAACCCCTAGTCCTAACCCTAACCCTAACAATAAACTAAGTCCTGGTGAGCTGGACTGTTGCAAAGTTGTTTGAACCACAAGATCAGTGGTTCAAGCTATCCAGCCCTTCCTCGGAAACCCTATACAGGGTCACTTTGGGTCAAAACCAACGGCACTGAACAACAACAGAGGCTTAACCTACATCTACTCACAGTCCCAAGGATAGCTGGTAGCGTAGTGATTACGAATCAGGCTGTGAACTGCAAGGTCAGCAGTTCGAAGCTACCAGCTGTTCCGAGGGAGAAAGATGAGGCTTTCTGCTCCTGTAAAGATTTACAGCCTCGGAAAACCTGCACAGGGTCGCTAGGAGTTGGAACAGACTCCAAGGCACCCAACAACAACAACCCATAGTCCCAACCTAGCCCTCAATTCCTTACTCCTATGCGTCCCTCCCCCCCATAACTATATTAAAAAAAAAAAATCTACCAGTGAGAAATAGTTATTTAACAAAGAGCCTCTTTGGTAGTATGTAAATGAGTTTTTCAATGAAGATTTCTAGAATCAAAATGATAGCGCTTGAGGAGGGGTGGGGACTGAATTTCAGAAACATTTTTCAAAATATAAAAGAGACCACTAGGAGGCAATGTTGACATATAGTTTAATTCAGGAATGTCGTCCATCTTTTTAGTCTCGAAGGAACGAGTTCTTGAATCAAAGGATAAAGAATGGTTATAGGTTGCATTTTATGTGGTGTTGAGGTTCTGAAAGGAATATTACAGGCTCATGCATCTCACACAGTTAACAGAGGAGGAAGTTCATTATGAAAGCAGATGAGATTAAGCCTGGTTTGAGAATACAGGGGACGTATTCATAGCCACTTTGTATAAAAATGGGAGTGCCTTTTCCGGTCAACATTTTATTTTACCTCAGCCATATGCAATCTCTGAAAGTTGTGTTGCTTGTGCTTCTTGTCTGTGCATTGGGGAGTGAGGAGTGGATTATTGACTCTGTATAAAAAAAACCTCTGGAAATTTCTTTCCTTTAGATACTTAGCATAGTGGTTACAAATCAGGCTGCGAACTGCAAGGTCAGCAGTTGGAAACTACCAGCTGTTCCTCGGGAGAAACAGAAGGCTTTCTGCTCCCGTAAAGATTTACAGCCTCGGAAACACTGTACAGGGTCACTCTGAGTCGGAACCGACTCCACGGCACATAACCACCACCACCACTTCCCTTGAAATTCCATAATTCTTTGGAAGTGGAGCCATTTCATCCTGGATTTAGCAAATTGTAGAACTAAAGATCTAAATACAAAGAACATACTCTCTCATTCTTAGTCTCAGCCTCTATTAATAACTGAAAAAAAGGACAATTTCAAGAAACATCTAACCACCTCAAGAATGTTTTACAAAGCAACATGTGAACTTTTCTATTTTCAGGATTGTTAAGTGATGTAGAGTCGGTTCTGACTCATAGCGACGACCCTCTCTATAGGGTTTCTGAGGAACAACTGGTGGGTTTGAACTAATAATAATCTTGTGGTTTGAAGTCTAGTCTGATCCTACAGCACCAAGGGAAACCATATTTATTCTAATAATCATACAGTTTCAATGGTGAACTCTCATAGGAAAGTATGTATTAAATTGCCCATTTAAAAAAAAAATCACAGTTCTCCATGTAAGAAACTTAGAGCTTGGAAATTTTCTGTTTTTATTATTAGAATTTTTAAGCTATTAAATTAATAAGCTCATTGCTCTCAGTCTTATTGATTTGAGGCGTTTAGGCCAAACTAGTTTTGAGCAGAATGGAAAGGGTTTAAATTCAAACTTATTGGTCTATGTTTTTTAGAGGAAGGAGAGAGAAGAACCTAAACTCAGAAGCACAACTTTGGGTTTTGAGTACTTCGTGGTTCCATATGACTTTGATTTTCTTCTAAGAATAAGTTTCAAGATATGGGAAAGTCCAAAATATGAAGTGGCTTGTAGCAATGTGTCTAAACAATGGGACTAAATAGATTAATGTGTCACAAGATCAATTTGAAGGGTTTCAACCAGCATTTTTTTCTTAAATCAATGCAATAAGAACAGAAAGGAATAGAAAGTGCCAGAATGGTTCACACATTTTATTTCATGTTTATATGTTACATGTCTTACTGGGTCATTATGCAAATTTCGTTTGCTTGCTTGTTTGTTTTCACTACGGGGAACTTGGAAGTCATTTTTCATAGCACTTTTTATCTGTTCCTATCTGTTTCCCAGTTGTTTATCACTGTTCATGTCTCATTTTCCTTACCTGCCTGAAAACTTCTTAAAGCAGAATTAATGCCTTTTCCTGGGCTAAGTGATTTCTATCATGCCTTCTACATGGTAGGTGCTTGGGAAATCTGTTTAAGATTTAAGATTCTTAGGAACCTTCTAAGACATAATTTTAAAATGGTCAAGCTCTATTTGTACTTGGATTTCATTCAGCTAATACCAATTAAATGTGGAGCCTGGCCTTAATACATGCATTGCTTTTTAACCATCTTTTCCTTATTCTTAGGAACTGTTGCCCAAACAGAGGAATTAACCAAATAGAGATTCCCCGTTGAGGCTACTGCGCAGATTTGAATTTCTGTTTTTCAAAGAGCTCCTTCAATTGCTGGTTAGTTGTGGCTTCTTTCTGCTGCATCAGCTCGGCTGTTCCCTTGGTCACTCCCCAAGCATCAGGCTTTGACATTGAAGGGTTGTATGGCCTGCCTGAGGCGATCCGAAGATTCTCCCAATATTGCCTCCTGGCCCTGTGTGAACAAAACACACCCAACATTAAACTCCTCCCCTAGTACTGGTCTCGATACTGGAGTTGTCATTAACTGTTGCTGAGTCAGTTGATTCTGACTCATAGTGACCTTGTATAGGGTTGCTGAGGAGCAGCTGGTGAGCTTGAACTGTTCACCTTATGGTTCAAACTGACTTTGCAATCCAGTGCATTAACCCACAGTGCCACACCAGGGCTCTGAGGGAGCTGGAATACATACACAGAGTCAATTTAGGATTCTGTGCCCTCCTTTTTCTTTCCATTGCCTCTTACTAGTTTAGGCCTAATCAGATCATGATGTGGTGCTGCAGGAAAAGCACTGGACTGCTAACTGCAACGTTGGTGGTTCAAACCCACCAGCTGCTACTTAGAAACCCTATATTGGGTCACTAGGAGTCAGAATCCACTCCATTGCACTTAACAATAGCAATTAGTTCCTCTATCTACTCTAGCAAAGGCCTATTCACAAGTTTCTCTTCCTCAAGGCTATTAAAATGTGCTTATTTACAAATCTAACCTTGCAACCTTGGGCAGACCCCTCCAGACTCCTCATTGTCTTTGGGATGAAGTCATATGTAGCTCATGAACACGACTAAAAGGCCTCCTACTCCTGAAGTTGTCTATTAAATTCTGTCTCAAATATTCTTAAATTTCTACTTTCTCAATACACCATCCTCTTTCACCTCTGAGTGCCTTCTTGCAGGCTGTTCTCTTGTGTGGTCCTTCAGAATTCAGCTCAGGCATCAACACTCTTAGGGAACCTTCATTAATGCTCCCCTCCCTGCCCCAAATCTCCCTTTGGCCTCCACAAGACATCAGCTCAGACCTCACAGCGACTGTGCTTACATCTTCATTCTTGAACTTACTGTACTGATTTGAATTTATCTGTTTATTTCTCTACCTACGATGCTGTTCAGCTCACTAGCTCAGTTCTGGCAACAGAGTCTCACTCCAGCTGTTGTTGTTAGATACTGTTGAGTTGATTTCTAGCTCACAACAGAAAGAAGCACTGTCTGGTCCTGAACCATCCTTACAACTGTTTGAACTCATAGTTGAAGCCACTGTGTCAGTCCATCTGGTTAGAGGGTCTTCCTTTGTTTCACTGACTTTCTACTTTATCAAGCGTGATGCCTTTCTCAGGGACTGGTCCCTCCTGATAACATGTCCAAAGTATAAGAGACAAAGACTCACCATTCTTTCTTTTAAGGAGGATTCTAGCTGTACTTCTTCCTAGACAGATTTGTTCCTTCTTCTGGTACATTTAGTGGCAATATTTAATATTCTTCACCAACACCATAATTCAAATACATCAATTCCTCAATTTTTTAAAAAAAATTATCATTCAAGTTGATTGTGGATCCAGTAAAAGGAAATCTTTGACAAGACAATTTCAATTCCGCCCCCCCCCCATTTATCAAGATGTTATTTATTTTTGTGGATAGAACCATTTAATATTACAACTCAAAGCTTCAGTTCTTTCAACTTGACAAATGCTGAGTGTTTCCCTTTTTCGTTTTTTAACTCCAGGCCTTAGCACATTTCATTCTAATCTGTTTAGCTGTTTTATGTCATCATTAATTCCTTTTGCTTTACCTTCTCTACATTTTAGAGCAACTTTCAAGCATATCTTCTGATATCCAGTTTTATGTTTTTTTCTTCTTCTTTCCTGTTTTTTCACTGACTTTTGATTTCTTCATATATAATGTCCTTTATATACCATCCCAGAACTTGTCTGGTCTTGATCATTAGTGTTCAATGTGTCAAATCTTGAAGAGATAGCCTTTAAATTCAGGAGGGATATGCTCAATGTTGTATTTGAATTCTTGTGAAATTATTTTAATTTTCTTCAGCTTCAACTTGAACTTGAGTATGAGAAATTAGTGATTTGTTCCTCAGTCAGTCCCCCAGCTTATTTTGACTAATGATATTGATCTCCTTCATTGTCTAATTCCACAGATGTAGGTAATTTGATTCCTGTGTATTCCATTGGGGAAATCTACACATATAATGTCCTTTATGTTGAGGAAGACTCATTAACAACCTGAGATATGCAGATGATACAACCTTGCTTGCTGAAAGTGAAGAGGACTTGAAACATTTACTTATGAAGATCAAAGAGCACAGCCTTCGATATGGATTACATCTCAATGTCAAGAAAACAAAAATCCTTACCACTGGACCAGTAAACAACATTCTTATCAATGGAGTAAAGATTGAAGTTGTCAAGGACTTCATTCTTCTTGGATCAACTATCAACACTTGCGGAAGCAGCAGTCAAGAGATCAGACGACGCATTGCATTGGACAAATCTGCTGCACAGGAACTTTTTTTTAAAGTATTGAAGAGCAGAGATGTCAGCTTGAGGACTAAGGTGCGCCTGACCCAGGCCATGGTGTTTTCAATAGCCTCATATGGATGCGAAAACTGGACAGTGAATAAGGAAGATCGTAGAAGAATTGATGCCTTTGAGTTGTGGTGTTGGAGGAGAATACTGAAAGTGCCGTGGACTGCCAAAAGAACCAATAGATCTGTTTTGGAAGAAGTGCAGCCAGAGTGCTCCTTGGAGGCCAAGATGGCTAAGCTTCATCTCTCATACTTTGGACATATTGTCCGGAAGAAACAGTCGCTGGAGAAGGATGTCATGCTGGGTAAGGTGGAGTGTCAGAGAAAAAGAGGAAGACCCCCAACGAGATGGATAGGCCAGGTGGCATCATTGATGGACTCAAGTGTGGCAGCAGTAGTGAGGTTGGCCCAGGATCGGACATTGTTTCGTTCTGCTGTGCATGGGGTCGCTATGAGTCAGTTCCGACTTGATGGCACCTGACAACAACAACAACAATGCTGTTGAAACAGGCATTTTAATGAATAAGTCATGGTCTGGCAAAATTCAATCATTCACCAGAGTAGTTTTTATCACCAAGGCCATATATCCCAAATGTTGATTCTTCTTTCAAAATCCATCACCAGTAATTATCAATGCATCTCAATAGCATATTTGATCAATTTCAGGCTACAGAAATTGGTTGTTGTTGTTAAGTGCCATTGAGTTGGTTCTGACCCACAGCAACACTGTATGGGGTTTTCAGAGGAGCGGCTGGTGAGTTTGAACCATGGATCTTGCCACTCAAACCGACTTTGTAGTCCAGCGCATTAACCCACAGCTCCACAGAAGTTGGTAGAAATCTTCAATCTCCTCATTGTTGGCATTAGTGGTTAGTGCGTAAGTTTGGAAAATAGTCATTAGCTGGTCATATGGATCTTATCCTATCCATTGTGTTCCATGAACTCATTAACTGTTCCTAAATTTTCCCTTTTGCTTAAACTTGCATCCTCCACCTCTATTCTCCATCTAGTGGATCCTTACTTAGTCTTCAAAACCAAGCTGAAAAGTCTCTTTAAAAATACCTATTGGGCAGAGATACTTATGACCTTCCTCTTCATTCTTGCCTTTTTATGCAGACCTTTTCTAAACAATCACTGCATTATATTTAATACCTTGGCTTTCATTTTCCCCAGAAGATTGTGAGATTCTCCAAGCCAGGGGCCATAGCTTTTCATTGACATATTCCTAGAACCATGCACAGTGCCTGACATACAACTTTTATGCTCATCTATTATTTCTGTCTCCCACTGGAATGTAAGCTATGTCTTGTTCACCACTGCATTCTCGGCTCCTAGAATCATGCTTGGCACTTACTTCATATTTGTTATATGTTGTTGTTGTTTTGTTAGATGCCATTGAGTTGGTACCGACTCATAGCAACCTTATGCACAGCAGAACTAACCACTCGTTTTACATAGGCTATGCTTTTTACTTCACGGTCCTTGCCATTCAGTGTTATCATCCACTGCATGGATGTATTAGGGTGTTAGCACATACTTACATTCTTTATTCTTAAAGCCTTTCTTGAGAAATCACCCCATAAGGATGTTTTTATAAATTTTTCTATGAAAAAAATTCACTATCACAGAGCAAATTAGTGGCACCCTTTGTAATGGTCTCACTTGGACATTTTTATAATCTAAATGAGTTTGGCTTACTTAGCAAAAGTTGTTTCAGGGTACTTACCTTGCTCTAATCCAGGGTTTGGTGTGCATGTCCAAACCACTTCCCCAGCTGCCATGTTTTTCTGAAGCTGGTGGCAAAAATCCCCTCTCTGGGGCCAGCTCCTCTGCAATTGCCCGGATGTGGTAGGGCTCAAATCCACAGCAACCACCAATGAACCTGACACCCAGGTTGTAGGCCTCTCTGGCGTACTTTTGAATATCCCATCTGGTTGCAACTCTAGGTTCTAGTCCTGTAATAAATGGAATTTAGCTTAATCTATTTTCCTAAATATATTCAAAATAGCTAGCTGTAATGAGTAGGTAGTTTTAAATAGATGAATTGGATAAATTGTCAATATTTAAGTCTTAAAACTTTTAAAACAATTAGCTACTTCATGTTTATATATGGCAGAAGGGATGGGATCTGACTCATAGACTAGGTCATAAATGACGCAGAAGGCTGGCCATGCTCTGACCGTACTGACCTCCCTGGCTTGATTTTTCAAGGTAGTCTAATTTCACTTTCCAAATAATGCTTAGAGACTTTTTGTCTCTGCCAAGAGTAGAAGTATTTCCTTATATTGTCTGCTCAGTCTCTTCTTCCACATCTGTTATACAGTAACCCAGTATCTGAGTAAAATTTAACATAGGAGGGAGACAATGGATCTTGAAGATGATATGGCTTAATGCTCATATTTCTTCCCCAAGGAGAAAATTAAGATCCTTAGAAATTAAGATTTTCTTAAGGTCACACAACTGAGCAGCAGAGCTGGAACCAGAACCCAATCTCTGCTGATCCTACCTACAAAGCATCCCTTTAACCACCCTAAAAGTAAGATTTGTTGGTTGTCTATTTAGATGTGGGTTCACCTTTGATTTTATACTTAAAACTCAGATATGTTCGTTTATGGGTCTCATCTTTTGTGCTCCCTACTGCCTAGTATCAAGGTTGGTGCAGGGAGAGAAACCAAAGTCATTTAAAGGAGATACTCAGCCATTTCTTTACAATCACAGAAAACTCTATGGCTATAGATACATTACAAATTTGTCAAATATAGGGCTATTGAGACTACTTATAAAAAGTCTGTCTTACCAAAGGGGAATTCTGGGAGATCAATAAACCCCTGTTTGCCGCAGTCAGGAGTGTGGTAGGCCAAGGGCTGGGCCATCAGGTGGGCTTTCAATCTGGCAGCCTCCAAACCTTCTTTCATGAGTTTCACAGTTTGTAAACTAATTGTGGGATCAAAATGACAGTTCACGCCAATGATGGAAGCTCCTGCAAACAGAAAGAACATTTAACCTTTAGAAATTCACCAGACACCAGTGGAGTCCTAGTGTGGCACTGTGAGTTAATGTGCCCAACTGCAAAGTCAGTTTGAACTGCAAGGTTGGCAGTTCAAGCTCACCAGACACTCTTCGGAAATCCTAGACAGGGCCGCTATGGGTCAGAACCAACTAGGTGGCACTTAACAACAAGTAGGTCCAGCTCTCCTCTTTCAATCAGGGCACAATTATGCTTTTATTTGGAGCAGTAAATTGGAATTTGGTCCTCGTTACCTGGAAACCTATTTTACCTTTGGGCAAGAATGATTACTAACAAGCAGGAAATGCTGTCTTTGAAAAGTGCTTGAAGAGTCTGGCATAATTGAAGTGTCATTTATACACACTTGACTGCTCATCTTTTATAAAAAATAAAAATCATGATTAGAGTTTTTTTTTTTAATTTCAAATTTTAGTAGTCAATTTTTCAAAGTTTGACATTATATGGCAAACAGCAATTTTTCAATATTTCCAGCTGCTAGGTTGCACCTGTGATGATCAGACAGTTCATTTTAGGTATAAATAAATTTTCCCTTTCACCAAATTTAATAGTATCCTTAACCTTGTTGTGCACAGCAGTATATAGTTCAGGAAAAGACTTTGCAGGCACCTGTTTTCTAGGAGGAATTTTGTAGCTAAGATAGTAGTAATTTTGGGGAAAAAACATAAAAAATCTTTTTGACTTCAGTTACTCAAAGTAGTTAATAGTCTATCAATCATTTTGACAAGTTTTCCATGGAAATTTTAGCCTCCATAGACTCAAAACTATATGGGATAGTCTTCTTTAAGCTTTCTTGTAAAATCTGTCATTTTGAAGTTTGATTGTTTTTGTTGTTGAGTGCCGTCAAGTCAGTTCTGACTCATAGTGATCCTGTATAGGGTTTCTGAAGATCAGCTGGTGAGCTGGAACCACTGCCATTGTGTCTCAAAGTGAATTTGCAGTCCAGTGCATTAGAACAAAATATGTTTTAGTTGCCTCATTTTTTCCTGAAACTTTCTCCATAGTCATTACATTCTTAATCATATTTGGACCAAAGATGATTCATCATAGCATGATTTTGGAGGCTTCCTTCCCCCAGAAAATTTGCAGAAGCAATATGCTATTCTTTTATTTTATCCCCTCAAGATGGGAGGAATTTCCAAATAGGGCTTCTTCTTGATGGACCTATAGCCTCATATTTTGTATCTTGGATACAGAAGTCCCAAAGTAAAGATGCTTGTTTAATTTGATTTAGCATAGCATTTCCTAAATGTACCTCACTGCAGAACCCTATTAATATTCTTTCAGAGGGCTAAATGTTGACTGATGATATGAAAAGTTCCAAATCACTTATGTACAAGTGGGCTTCAAAAAGTTCATGGAAAACCCTCAATTTTCATGATTTTTTTTTTTTTAAGCCCCTTTGTATTTAGAAACTGCTATAAGAAGATCGAGTCCTGGTGTGATGCTGTAGGTTAATGCACCAGACTGCAAAGCCATTTGAACTGCTAGGGTGGTGGTTCAAACTCACCAGCTGCTCCCTGGAAACCCTATTTAGGGTCGCTGTGGGTTGGAACCCACTCGATAGCACTTAACAATGACAACATAAGAAGATCACTTGTGGTGGGAATGATTATGGAGATGAATTTGAACTAAACATTGGGAGATGAACTAGATCTATGCAACAGCCATTTATGAAGAAGCCCTTGTGGCACAGTGGTTGAGAGCTCGGCTGCTAACTGGAAGGTCAGCAGTTCAAATCCACCCAGCAGAGAAAAGACCTGATGATTTACTGTAAAGATTTAGGAAAAGAAAACCCCAACCCCTTTACCATCAAGTCAATTCTGATTCATAACAGCCCTACAGGACAGAGTAGACTGATCTGTTGGATTTCCTAAACTATAAACAAGGAGCTCTGGTAGCGTAGTGGTTACGAATTGGGCTGCTAACCTCAAAGTCAGCAGTTTGAAACCACCAGCTGTTCCACGGGAGAAAGATGAGGCTTTCTGCTCCCATAAAGATTTACAGCCTCGGAAACCCTGTACAGGGCTGCTACGAGTCAGAACCGACTCCACAGCACACAACCACCACCAAGCTATAAACATACATACGTGTATAATATATACATGTGTATATATATGAATATGAATTGGGTGAAGGTTTACAGAACACATCACTTTTCCATTCAATAATATATATTTTGTTTCATGTCATTAACTGTAATTCCCATGATGTCACATCACTTTTTCCAATTCTTCCCGATGCTTTCTAACTTTCCTCAACTTTATCCTTGGTTAAATGCTGCCCTTTTGATCTCAAATAGTTGATTATTCTAAGAAGTGTGTATACCTCCCTCGTGCTATTGTTTCTCTTTTGTTGTTGTTGTTGTTAGGTGCCATCAAGTAGGTACTGACTCATAGTGACCTTAGGCACAGCAGAACGAAACACTGCCTGATCCTGGGCCAACCTTACTACTATTGCCACGCTTGAGTCCATCGATGCTGCCACTTGGCCAATCCATCTTGTTGGGGGTCTTCCTCTTTTTCACTGACCCTCCACCTTACTAGACTGTCTATTGTTTGGGCTGAAAAGTAAGCAACAGGGGAAGGCTGTAAAGCTCTGCAGGAGCACACTGTTACATCTTTCTCCAGTGGAGCAGCTGGTGGGTTTGAATCATGGACTTTGCAGTTAGCAGTTGACTGCTTCACCACTGCACCACCAGGCCTCTTAGGAAAGAAACCCTATGTGGAGGTTCTACTCCGTCATCTTGGGTTCTCTATGAGTTTGTCTTACTGTGGTGGCTTGGGTGTTGCTGTGATTCTGAAAGCTATGCCACCAGTATTTTAAATGCCGGCAGCAGGGTCACCCATGGTGGACAGGTTTCAGAAGAGCTTCCATATGAAGACAGGCTAGGTAGGAAGAAGGAGAGATGAACTACTTCTGAATATTTAGTCACTGAAAACCTTATGAATCAGCTGAGAAACACTCAGATATAGTGCCTGAAAATGAGCCCTTCAGGTTGGAAAACACTCAAAATGTGCCTGGGGAAGAGCTGCCTCTTCAAAGTAGAGTTGACAATGATGATGTGAATTGAGTAAAGCCCTTGGGACCTTCATTTGCTAATGGGGTACAACTCAAAATAAAAAGAAACAGCTTTAAACATCCATTAATAATGAGAACATGGAATGTACGAAGTATGAATCTAGAAAATTGGATATTGTCAAAAATGAAATGGAATGCATAAACATTGATATCCTATGCATTAGTGAGCTGGTATTGAACTGGTTTTGGCCATTTTGAATCTGATAATCATATGGCTTATTATCCGGGAATGACAAATTGAAGAGAAATTGCATCACATTCATCATCAGAAAGAACATATCAAGGTCTATCAAGAGGTACAATGTTGTCTGTGATAGGAAAATATCCATGCACCTGCAGGGAAGCCTATTTAATACTACTATTATTCAAATTTATGCACCAACCACTAAAGTCAGTAAGGATGAAATTGAGGAATTCTACCAACTTCTTAAGTCTGAAATTGATCAAACATGCACTCAAGATGTATTGATAATCACTGGCAATTGGAATGCAGAGGTTAGAAACAAAGAGGTCAGTAGTTGGAAAATATGACTAGTGAGAGAAATGATGCTGGAGATCACATATTAGAATTCTGCAAGACCAATGATTTGTTCATTTCAAATACCTTTTTTAAACACCACAAAAGATAATTATAACACGTGGAATACACAGAAATCAAGTTGACTACATTTGTGGAAAGAGATGGTGGAAAAGCTCCATATCATCAGCTAAAACAAGGTCAAGGGCAGATTGTGGAACAGACCATCAATTGCTCACATGCAAATTCAGACTGAAGCTGAAGAAAATGAAGACAAGTCCATGAAAGTCAAATATGTCCTTGAAAACGTCCCACCTGAATTTAGAGATCATCTGAAGAATAGATTTGATACATTAGACACTAAAGACCGAAGACCAGAAGAGTTGTGGATGACATCAAGAACATCATAAATAAAGCAAAAAGTCAGTAAGAAGACAAGAAAGAAGAAAAAGACCCAAATGGATGTCAGAAGAGACTCTGAAACTGCTCTCTAGTGTAGAGATGCTAAAGCAAATGGAAGAAATGAGGAGGTAAAAGAGCTGAACAGAAAATTTCAAAGGTCAGCTTGAGAAGTCAAAGTCAAATATTATAACAAAATGTGCAAAGACCTGGAGTTAGAGAACCAAAAGGGAAGAACTCACTCAGTATTTCTTAAGCTGAGGGAATGGAAGGAAAAATTAAAGCCTCGACTTGTGTTATTGAGGGATTCTGTGGGCAAATTATTGAATAATGCAGAAAGCATCAAAAGAAGATGAAAGGAATACACAGAGTCATTGTACCAAAAGGAAATGGTCGATGTTCAAACATTTCAAAAGGTAGCATATGATCAAGAGCCAATGATCCTGAAGGAAGAAGTCCAAGGTGTGTTGATGGCACTGGCAAAGAACAAGACACCAGGAATTGATGGAATACAAATTGAAATCTTTCAACAAAGTGAGGCAGCACTGGAGGCACTCACTCATCTATGCTGAAAAATTTGGATGACAACTATCTGGCCAACTAATTGGCAGAGATCCATATTTGTGTCCATTCCAAAGAGAGGTGACACAATGGAATGTGGAAATCAGGCAATATGATTGATATCCCATGTAAGCAAAGTTTTAGGAAAGGTAATAAAGAAATGGGTGCAACCATCCATTGACAGAACTTCCAGAAATTCAAGTCAGATTCACAAGATGACGTGTAATGAGGGCTATCACTTCTGGTGTCAGATGGATCTTGGCTGAAAGCAGAGAATACCAGAAAGATGTTTACCTGTGCTTTATTTACTATGCAAAGACTTTTGATTGTGTGGATCATGACAAGCTATGGACAGCATTGCAAAGTATGAGTATTCTGGAACACTTAATTGTGCTCATGAGGAATCTGTACATAGACCAAGAAGCAGTTGTTCGAACAGAACAAGGGAACACCAAATGGTTTAAAATTAAGAAAGGTGTGCAACAGGGTTGTATACTTTCACCATACTTATTCAACCTGCTGAGCAAATAATCGGAGAAGCTGGGTTATATGAAGAAAAACGTGGCATCAGGATTGGAGGAAGACTCATTAACAACCTGCGATATGCAGATGATACAAAGTTGCTTGCTGAAAGTGGAGAGGATGTAAAATACTTACTGATGAAGATCAAAAAGCACAGCCTTCGGTTGGATTGCATCTCAATATAAAGAAAACAAAAATCCTCACCACTGGACCAACAAACAACATTCTTATCAGTGGATTGAAGTTGTCAAAGACTTTATTCTTCTTGGATCAACTATCAATACTTATGGAAGCAGCAGTCAAGAAATCAAACAACATATTGCATTAGGCCAATCTGCTGCACAAGATATTTTTAAAGTGTTGAAGAGCAAAGATGTCAGTTTGAGGACTAAGGTGC